TGCTTAGTAAGGTCTATGCTCAACAGCTATGAATTACCAAAATATAGTAATACTCTAACAAACATTAGTAATAGCTTACCAATACATTAGTAAAACAGACAGAAGGCTGACTAATACAGACAAAATGCTTATTAATAAAAGTAGAAGTAGCTTAGTAATTACAGTAGAATAGAAGAGCCAGTTTTGCTATTGGCTAAGGAACAACAGGCTGAAAGGTATAAATAGGAGAGGTTCTCTGGGACACAAACACACCAACCCACCAAGCACCACACACACTGTCAAGGATTTAGCTAGCAGCAAACCTGCAGTTAATCCCCTGAGCTCTTTAGCTCTCAGAGAATAGACTCCTTTCTTTACAGCCTAGGAAATTCCTTAAGCACAGTAGAGCCTCTGACTTTCAAATAACCTGAAGGGAAACGCCCTTGGTATAGTGCACGAGTTCACTATTTGACTAACCCTAGACTGCGAGAGCTAGTGGCGTCATTATTTGAAACTGTGGTACGTCTCCTGTAGAGCTTACAGTAATTAGACTAGCAGTAAAGAGATTAATTCTATTCTTGATCTTCAACTCTAAATTGGAAGCTTCAGACTGCTTCAAGTTATACAAATCCTCTAAGGACATTAAATTGTCCTTACTAGCCAAAGCTTACTAAGTTAACCAAGACATTAACTTGTCTTTGTTACCCTCTTATTTTACTTATCTAAAAACCCTATTCTACTAACCCAAGTAGCTAGTCCTTAAGCTACTAACCAAACCTCCTTACAGCCCATCTTCTAAGATTCCTTAAAAAGTCCCTTGTAAACAGGCAAGTGAAGCTTTAGAGCACTTAAGTAGATTAGTAGGTGGTCTTTGAATTAGTCCCCCACGAACACCAGGATAGCTTGGTTGAAAGGCTAACCCAGTGAACCCTGGAAAGAAAAGATTGGGAAAACCAAATCTAAGTATTCCATACTATACCCTTCTTGCTTCTAGTTTAGAACAGACCAAACTCCATTCTCTTTTATTAAAAAGTAGCCTTCTAGGATTTCTCCTAGAATCTTCTTTATACCAAACCTCATTTTTTATTTTTTTACTTACTTTTCTTATCCTAACCTTTTCTTTACGACAGCGAATGCCATGAGCACCTCTCCTTCAGCAACATCCTGAACTCCTGGACCTTTCCTACCACCTCTCTTCTTTGCTGGGGAACCTTGGACAGCATCCTCAGATGAGAATTCACCTACAGAATTCAAGATGTTATCAGCAGACAACATCAAACTGCACAAAAGCTCAAAAAAAGCGCACCAGACAGCCTAAACTGGGTCATAACAGCTTCATTGTCAAACTCAACATGCTTAGAGGCCACCTTTTGCCTCTTAGATGTCTTCTGAGGGGTCTCGGCAGCTCTCTTCTTTCCATGGTTGCGAGGAGGCATAGTGGCAAGCAAGGTGACGCGGCGTTTGCCTTTTTGGGACAACTGGACCTGACTGCAAGCCACCGCTAAGTCGCGCCAAGCCGCAGTTAAGCCGCGTAACAGCCAAGAGCCAATCAGTGACTTGGCTTGGCTGCCACATGGCTTGACTGCAACGACTAGCGGCTAAGCAGTCAAGCCGTGGCAACACTATGACGAGCTGGTAGCGAATGCCTCTGCAAACTGCTCTCGAAGCGCTACCAGTAGTGCTGGCTGACATCCGTCGAATGTGATCTTCCTCAGTCACTGTTGTAGTATTTGAGGCGTGAGGCGCACTGACCTGCCGGATGCGCATCAGCCGCGCCGCACCGAGACACTGACATGACGCGCTCACCGCGTCATGCCATATTTGGATATGGCTTTCCTGTTTTAGATATGATGCGCGCAGAGCACTCTCGGCTCTGGCGCCAGTTCATTCCCTGCCGCGTTTCCCTTCATCTCAGCTTCCTCAGCGTACTAAGTATTGGACTGAGTATATTAGGAGGTAGATAACATATATAAGAACACGATGTATTATCCTAGACCTTTACCGTTGATTACTCGTTATTTCCTTGCCTGCGCAATCCAATTCACAACAGTCACAGTGTCCACTCCAGCACAAGTGAGATTATCGCCCTCGCATTCTCCGTTGCCAGGAGATTTTGAGAAACAGTACTGGTGTAGACGTTGAAGATGAGGTGCTCGAGATGCACCATCTGCGGCACGAGTGAGCGCAACTCAGGAAAGCGCATGGGGCCGCAAGTTTCCAGCAAGGGATCCAATAAGTAACACTGCGAGATAGATAACATGTATGGTTCTGAAAGTGTAGACTGTCACTCGTGCAGGCCAGACCCACACAAACCTAGCTTGTAGCCACGAAGGTTGTACAGGCGCAGCTCATGCAGGCCAGCGAATAGCTTCAGCAGGACGCGCGTGTTGTTGAGAACGTCGCATAAAGTGCGATGCAGCAAGAGCGGAACGCAGACTGTGAGCTCGAAGGAATCCATTGTCTCCACCGATAGAGAGATGGATTCGAGAATGTGCATTGCGTACACAAATGGGAGGTCCAGGGCAATAGGATGCAGTTGGTTCATTTTGATACGTGTGTGATGGCGGTCAGGTTCATCTTGCTCAGACAAAGCAGGGTCCAAGTGAGGATTCCATCCTTCGTCATGCGTCTCGTGCAGGTACAACCTGCAGCTTGCGCAGTCTGTGCGACGCGCAAAATTATTGCAGGATATCTCCTTCACTTCTGTCCACGTCCTCAGAGACGACAGTCAGCGCGCCAAGCGCAGCCGCATGCAAGGCTCGCGTGCATGTCCATCACATGAAAAGTGACCGAGAGCTTAGTCATGTTGATGAGTCATAACTTGTGGGAAGGCAGGTTCTGATAGTGCCTGACGTCCCAAAATGTGGCGTGGAGGGCCTGCACCTCTGGGGCGTTCCCATCCAAGAATCTCAGCCACAAATCGCGGATGGTCACTCACAAAGGCATGCAACAATTGTTCCGTGCCTTGTAGAATTCGCATGTGCCATCGCTGAGTCTCTGTAACATCAAATGCGTCCACATGCACGGCTTGCCAAATGCAACCGCCCGCCAACGAGCGCATGTCGCAACTATAGCAATGTTTGTCTTGTGCTTTAGCCCATGCTCCCCCACTAGACAAAAGATCTGCCAGGGGATCTTGATTGATAGAGCGTTGATCTTCATGCAGTTGTCACTCTTTTCACTCGGAGCCGAAGAGAGGCAGCAGCTACCGCGTCGTAGAGATTGGGAATCTTGGCTAGCTGTGCATTGTATACGGCAAGAGATTCTTGAGCATGGAGAGAAGAGCTTTTTCCGTCAATAACTGCCCCACAGGTCAGTGTAATCTTCAAGTACATACCCAGACCCTACCCACTAGTGCCAGGAGGCACAATGAGAGCAGAGAACTCCTCCAGGCTGGCCTTTCCAACCTTTAGTCCCTGTGGGTGCAGTACTTTTCCACAGCCATGAGCAGTGAGGTTGGCTGGATGTACCATCCGGGCCTGCAGACAACCTTCGTCTTGTGGAGGCCAGGGCCATCTGGTGCAGTTCTGTGAATTCCTTTGCGCCCCCTGACCTTAGGTCGACCAGGTGAACTGACACAGACCCTGTTTTGGCTGTAGCACAGGCCCTCATGTAGCAGTAGTTCTATAGGCCTTTATAAACAAGCGAAAAAAGACAATGTTCATCAAGAAAAAAAGCTGACATGGCCCAGGCGCTTAATTGTGGGCAACATGCTGACCAAGATGGGATTGCTCAGACAGGCATTGAACGCATCACGCTTCAAGCTTCACCCTCAGTTGCTACCATACACTCGTCTATGTAAGTTGCACTGTCATTTCTTTCTTCTTGATGAGTCTAAACGGTCTCTTTTTGTGAATTGCGCCAGTTGGATGTATTAGACATGCACAGTGTCCAAGCAACACTCATGTCTGCCCTTCTGGGTGTCACTACAGGCATGAGCTGATTTCAGACCACCTGAAATGTCCTGGTCAAGCCATCAAAACTGTTTCATTTTTGAAGACTTAACCAGGGCTTTCTGGTGTCCCAAAATGATAGATTTGCTACCACTTTCATAGCCATTTGTGGTGCAGGAAAATGATAAATTTTGTGTAGCCTGAAATGTACCTGAAATGACTCAATATGGCTACATTTCAGTACACAGGGCCCCGGGAGATTGCGTGTACCAGGTTTCCAGGGGATTGCCCACAGATCAATGTCCAGATAGCTGAGGTCCAAAATCTGTTTGATTGTTATCTCACAACAGCTGGATTTTGATAGCAATCTCGCTCCAGGTCTCAGATGGAATCAAGCGCCCACCACCCACCGCAGATTTGCACAGTGGGATGCGACATGCAAAAGGCTTCTGTGCCAGATATCAAAGATATATGTAGCGGCCCCAAGTGTATATATGATGTGCAACAAATAATGCTGCTGAGAGGTCTCACTGTCTGTCTGCTCAGCACCACACAGTGGAAAGAGGCACAGGTCTGCAGGAAAGCATCGTTGGGGTCATGAGTATCATCCTGCTGATCTTCATAATGTCATCATGGTCTGTATCGTCATCAGATGTGCTGTGATGACCAGAAAAACTATGACTATGCCTGACTTCATCTGCGGCCATAACTGTCTCCCGCCATCTGTCATGGCGATCACAAGCTGGTAATGTAGTGATACAAGATCTGTCCTACGAGCGAGGAAAATAACACACTGCCTGGATCAACATCTTTGTTGTTTGATGCAGGTACAACAGATGCTGCTGCTCTGGCATGCCTGAAGAGCTCGGCAGGGTGGCCGACACATATTGCATCACAGTACAGGCCACCCTGGTGCAGTATAGGTCACTTGTACTAGGAGACAGCTTGGAAGGTGGTAGATGCGAGGTGGCAGGGGCAACTAGAGAAGTGAGGAATAGGTTACTAGAGGGAACTTGCCCATAGGCCTTCAATGTACCTCTGTGCTCCTCTGGCCTCACACAGGTGTATCCCGCTTCGTACCATGTGGAAAAGCTTTCAACTAAGAATCAGATTGTGAGATATACCAAATTTGGCTGATAGTGATTACAGCAGAGCCAAAAGTGTAATCAGACAAAAATTAAATGGATTTTGGACAGGAGCGCTCAGATTCTGCTGCAATCAGAATCTGGGTCACACAATTATCAAAATCCTGCAGATAGTGCCCAGGATGCTGTCCGCGGGGGCCCTGTGTATGGCAAAGAGTTCATGTTTCAGGAGACTTTGTGGCACATTTTAGGACATCTGAAAGAACATATGTGGAAATCATTCCTGCCTCATGTTTGCAATGAGGAAAGGTCCGGGCAGGGAAAACTTTTGATGGTCCTGAAATTACCATTTCTGATGGATTTTGAAGCTATTTATGAGCTAGAAGATTTTTACTCGAGATAAGTCAGAGATGTCCTGCAAATGTACTACGAATTTGCCGTAAATGGTAATTTTAGGACCATCAAAAGTTTTCCTTGCCCGGACTTTTCCTCATTGCAAACATGAGGCAGGAATGATTTCTACATATGTTCTTTCAGATGTCCTGAAATGCGCCACAAAGTCTCCTGAAACATGAACTCTTTGCCGTACTGAAATATAGCCATATTGAGTCATTTCAGGTTCGTTTCAGGCTACACAAAATTTATCATTTTCCTGCACCACAAATGGCTACAAAAATGGTAGCAAATCTATCATTTTGGGACACCAGAAAGCCCCGGTTAAGTCTTCAAAAATGAAACAGTTTTGATGGCTTGACCAGGACATTTCAGGTGGTCTGAAATCAGCTCATGCCCGTAGTGTGTGTGACTCAGATTTTTCGGGTGGCTATGTCGCCAAACTGAAACTCTTGAATTCTTTTGATTAGACATGAGCTTGAACCTCAGTAGCAGTGCAGTCGAGTTAGGATGAAAGCGCCCCCATTCCATTCCGGACGGCATGTGTCGGATACGTTCACTGCCACCTCAAAGATTTGTCACCACATCCGCGATCTGAGTCTTCTCACATGCCCAGCGCTCTTTCCCTTTGCCCGACGCCCCCAGCGTGAAGTTCCTGCCGAGTCTCATGGGCACGCGCGCTCCATCACTGCAGTCCCGAACGACAGGTTCGTGCACTACGGAATGTGCGATTGGTACTCACATTTCTGAGTGTTGCAAATCACTGGGCTTTCATTGGCGTCCGGCCCCATGAAACGCCAAGACCTCCACATCCATCAATGACCAGGCCCGTAGGATGTTTGCGAGGATGCATAGGCCCTTGCCTACACCGGCTCCGCCATTTTTGGGAATGCAAGGCTCCTGCACCGGCGCGCCCTCTCGCAGCCCGTCAGCGCAAAAACGGCAGAGGTCTAAAGATATAAAAGATGAGCAGGAGTGTAGGAGGCTCCTTAAAACAGCGAGCTCTCCACTCCCAATCTCTAGGCATCGAGTTCTCTTCCTCTCGAGCCATCCTCCCTCACTTTCCAGACTACACAATGATCCTCAAATTCTCTTCACTCATCGCCCTCGTCGCCGTTGCTGTGGCCGTGCACACTGCTTCAGCCTCCATCGCTGCCACCTGCTCCGACGGCACACAGGTCCCCGACAAGATGTGCTGCAACTTCATCCCTGTGCGTCTACTCCATTTTGTACGGCGCTACAGCTGTGGCTGAAACACTTGAATGTAGCTCATATCAGCGCTCCAGAATACTTTGTTCATGGAAGAATGCGGTGAAGATGGTAGGTCATTTGTCTTCTTCGATTTGTGATGATGGCGCTGACGTCTCATCCAAGCTCACGAGGTCATTCGTCTAACTTTCCGTAAGTGAAACTCTGTCGAGGGTAGCTAGCAGTAAGCTTATTGTTATGTTGTCAGATGATGCCATTGCTATCTCTCAGAGCCAGGGTCCCGCGGCGTGAGTTGCTCTACGTCTTGATCAGTGGTCGGAAGTATACTGACCCTGGGTGTGCAGCGGTGGAGGAGCCGACGGGTCGATGCTCATCTTCCCGACCGTCGAGCCATCGTTCGCAGCGAACGTGGGCATCAACGACAGTGTCGACAGTCTGACTCCGTTCATGTCTCAGTTCCCCAGCATCACCGCTGCCGACCTCGTCCAGTTCGCAGGCGCGGTCGCACTGAGCAACTGCCCAGTAAGTAGTCGTGAGCTGCCCATCTCCTGCTGTATTCGTGCTCACACGATCACCCACGATAGGGCGCGCCCCAACTGGAGTTTCTTGCCGGTCGTCCCAATGCTACTGCGCCGGCCGTCGAGGGCCTGATCCCCGAACCACAGGACAACATCACGTCGATCCTGGACCGGTTCGCCGATGCCGGTAGCTTCAGCCCGTTCGAGGTTGTCTCCCTCCTTGCCTCTCACTCTATTGCTCGTGCCGATAAGGTCGACCCGACCATCGACGCCGCGCCATTCGACTCCGTAAGCGAAAATACTTGCTGTCGTGAGATCACGCTAGATATTGTTTGCAGACCCCATTCGTGTTTGACACCCAGGTCTTCCTCGAGGTTCTCCTCAGGGGCGTCGGCTTCCCGGGTACCGACAACAACACCGGCGAGGTCGAGTCCCCACTCCCGCTCACCGTCGGCAGCGACACCGGCGAGATGCGTCTCCAATCGGACTTTGCACTCGCTCGCGACCCGCGCACGGCGTGCTTCTGGCAGGGCTTCGTCAACCAGCAGGAGTTCATGGCATCGAGCTTCAAGGCGGCCATGTCCAAGCTTGCGATCCTGGGCCACAATCGCGCGGACCTGGTCGACTGCTCGGCCGTCGTCCCCGTTCCGAAGCCGGCGGTGAACAAGCCTGCGAGCTTCCCCGCCACCACTGGCCCGCAGGACCTGGAGCTGTCGTGCACGACCGAGAAGTTCCCGACGCTGACCGTCGACGGTATGTGTTTTCAAACTGTGCACGCGCGGTGTATAATGGAGCTGACGATTGGCTATCGTACAGACGGCGCATACGAGACGGTGATCCCGCACTGCCCGGACGGCAGCATGACATGCAACGATGTCCGGTTCAGAGTCCAGGCCGTCGACTATTAAGCGGTCTCACGGCGAAGTTCATTCATCTAGCCCTAAATTATGGTAAAAGGCATTTTTGGACTCGATGTGATGTCGGCGGTCATGGTGACTGTGCGGCTTGTAGCTTCGCGCTCTCCAAATATAATGTACACCGTGCATTTTGTCTTGGGCGCGCAAACAGATTGAGCACATGAGCTCCAGGACAGAAATGATCGTGAAGCCTCCTGGACACGAACCCGAAGTGAGCAAACAAGGTTCGCGCACCAGAATGATGGGTGCCGATGCAACCAAATCATGGTAACGAATACCGAAAAATACATTGCACGCTATCACTTCAATATTAAATAATGGCTGTCAGCTTATTTACTACCACCACGACGACTCCGGAATTCCAAGCTGGTAGCGAATGCATCTGCAAGCCGCTCTCGAAGCGCGTCCAGCAGCACTGGCTGACATCCGTCGAATGTAATCTTCCTCAGTCGCGGCGTCCATTCTGGTACAAGCGAGGCCATCGACCTCGCGTCCTCCTTCGCCAAAGAAGCCTGAGAATAAACGCCATTGCAGACGCGGAAGATGAGATGCTCGAGATGCACCATCTGCGGCACGAGCGCGCGCAACTCAGGAAAGAAGCCCATGCGGCCGTCGCCTCCCAACGAGGCGCTGAAGGAGGGCCAGTGCGAAACGGAGAACGTGTATGGCTCTGGAATTGCGAACTGTCGCTGGTGCAGGCCCAACCCACGCATACCTAGCCCTTCACTACGGAGGTCATGCAGGCGCAGCTCACGCAGGCCGGCGAACAACCCCAGCGGAACACGCGTGCCGCCGAGGATGTCGCCCAGAGCGTATTTCTGCGACCGCGAATCATGGACTGTGAGCTCGAACCGGGCCATTGTCTCTACCGGGAGGGAGATGGATTCGAGGATGTGCGTTGCGTACTCGAACGGGAGGTCTAGAGTGATGGAACGCAGCCAATCCATCTCAATACGCGTGTGGCAGAGGTCAGGTTGATCCTGTATGGACAGAGCATAGTCCTGGCTAGGAGTCCCCACCTCACCTTTGGCCTCATGCAGCTCCAGCTCCAGCTTCCGCAGCCTGGGCGACGCGCGAAATATTTGCAGAATACCCCCTTCCTTCCCGGACATGTACTCAGAAGCGGCCGGCCCGTGCACCTCCACTCGCAGCTCCAACAGATTTGGGCCGTAGCACTTGGAATCCCAGGAGAACCGGCAGCCCCGCAGCGTCAGGTACTGCAGGCGGTTTGCATCCTGGAAGATGCTATCACTGAGTACATGCCTCCAGGGTCGCTCGGGGAGATGTATCGTGAACTCGATCGTGTTGATAAGCTGCAACTTGCAAAAGAGTTTCTCGTAGTACTTGTCCTGCGAAAATACGGCATGGAAGGCTTGTACCTCCACCGCGTTCTTGTTCAGGAATATCGGCCACGAATCGTGGATGGTCACCGTTAAAGGCATGCCACAACGATTCCGTGCCTTGTAAAAATCGTATGCGCTGATCCCGAGTTTCGTCAGCGGCAGGTGGGTCCACGTGCATGACTCGCCAAATGCGACCGTCCGCCAACGAGCGCATGTTGCAGCAATCGCAAAGTTTGTCTGGTGTCTCAAACCGCACTCCACCGCTAGACAGAAAATCTGCCGAAGGACTTCGGTCGGTAGAGTGGTGATCTTCACGCAGCTGTTTCTGCCCGCTCGAAACCGAAGGGAGGCAGCGACCACCGCGTCGCGGAGATCGCGAATCTTGGCTAGCTCTGCGTCGTATGCAGCAAGATTCTCTTGGACACGGAGAGGAGAGCTTTCGCTGTCACTGCAAACAAATATTTCACAGATCAGCGTAATCTTCAAGTATATTCTCAAGCCCCTACCTGCCGCCAGCGTCAGCCGCAGCGCCGGGAGGGCATATAAGTCCAACGAGAGCAGACAATTCCTCCAGGCTGGGTTTTCCAATGCTCTGTCTCTGCAAATGCAATGAATTTTCGCAGCTGTGAGGTCGAGAAAGAAAATAGTATGGTGCTCATTCAGGAGCATAAGCGCGAGCAAAGTGCTGACCAAGATGGGATTACTCAGACAAGCGCACAAGCGCGTGATTAAGTCGAGAGGCGGCGAGCAATTTCGTGAGCTGCGTCCCTGGTCTCTGTAAAATACCAATCTCGCGTGCAGAGCTATGTAGGGCGTGGACTAGTCTTATTCCCTCTCTTCTGGAAGGTGTTCGCAGAGACCGAGCTGGGTGTGATCAGTACTTAAGAAGTAGTCGTAGTAAGAGAGGGAATAATCTGCACGCCACTTCAAATTCCGTTTGTTATATGGCTTACAGTGTTGATGATGTCGATGAGGCCGGAATGTCTGGAACCGAGACTAGGAGTGGACCATGGCAGAGGCAGGCCTTATCTAATCAGAAGCTGATGAAGTCGCGTCCAATCAGTGCCATCATCTCGAGCTGCTTGCTTGACTCCTTCGCTTTGCGTCCACTGTCATGAGCTGTCTTACCACCTATCCTGCCCCAGTGCAAACGATGTTGCTTGGGAAGCTGCTGCTCTCGACGTTCGTACTCGTAGTCTCCCGGACCGCAGGAACTCACGATCCTCCTCGCCTCGACTCCGCTCGGAATAGGACGCTACTTGGATTGACGGACTGAACGTTCAAATCGCGCCCTTCTGCCTATATCGCAATACCAAAACTTGGAATTAGATCGCTTGCGGAAAAGCTTTCACTACAGCCGTGGTTGGGTATGTGTGCCGTTCTCTTTCACTGTCACGCATGCATTGACGGCCCTGTGTCTGCAAATTGTCGCTTTGGACTCTGCTATCAGTCTTTACGACGTCATTTCGAATGCGCTCATTGCTGACTCTCACCTTTCGACTTCGCCTTCAAAGTTCGTATCAACGAATAGCACATTCCTCTGCTATCCCTCCTCACCAACCAAGCGTTGTCACGGTTCTCGCTCTGCGTGAGTCGCACCAAAGACAGCTGTCAAGCGGTATCCGGACATCATATCTATCTAATCCACTTCCCTCTTTCGCCACCTCCCACCGCCGCATCTGAACCCATCCAGATTATAGCTGCAGCGCGACCATCAGCTCCTCGACATGCACCTCTTCTCAAGCGCCATACTCTGCGCCAGGCAGTACCGAAAGCGACTGTGGTGGTGTACAAGAGATGATACAGAAGCTACGCGAAGGCTCGGCGGCGCATGCCATATAAACGCTCGAGTACATGGAGCAGGAGGATGGCACTGATTAGGCGGGGCTCCTGAAATACCGGATGGTACGCGCAGATGGGCCATACGAAATACGATATTGACTTTCACTCAAGTTTTACTGCACCTTGCGACGAGTCCACAACCCAAGCTAGGCATGTTCTGTACCTCTTCAGCGTTGGAGCACGACAGCACCAAGTATGTCCAGTACGTCTGCGCCGCCGAACTTGCAGCTACTCTGTACGGTGGCTACCTATGGTAGAAACAGCACTGTCTGTCTGCTAGAGACGTACCGGAGGCGTAAATTCGGACCATAAGCTGTGCGCCGGTTTTAAGGGAGAGACGCGCCTGTGGTGCGCTAACACGTTAGTAATTGCAATGGCCCGAGTCACCCATCTAACACATGTACTTCTGGGAGACCAGGTCTTTGCTTGCAGGTGGAAATGATCGACAATGAGCGTGTCCTTGCCCTTCCCAATTTTCATGTGCTCAGACTCTTCCTGCCGCAGTGCCCTCACGTTGCTAGCCACTTCGAGCATCACGTCGGAAGGCCGGAATGTCGGCGGTGACACTGCGTATGGCTGTTTTTACCGTCGATTGGCTGTACAGTACCCGAACGTTGTGAACATTCCGCTGCACCAGGTGCCCTTCAGTGAAAACAAATCTCTTGTAGGCTTGTACAGACACGGACCCTTGCCCGTCGTGTCGCCATGATGCGCTTGAGGCATACTGACGACGGCCACTCGCGTCTTCAAATTATTCAACTGCCGCCCCTACCCTTGCTTTGAATATTGGTACTCGAGATGTATCGATGCTGTCCGCCGAGACTTGTCTATGTCAGTGATGTTCCTGGGCATGTGCGGCTGGCTTATGGCATATGTTTTCACAATCACTCTACGGTTTGTCGCGCTTAGCGTTTGTTCGTAAGGTAGGCTGAAGGATAATATTGGCTCGATAAGTGCTTAGGGAGATTGTCGGCGAGCGGCGTGACAAGGTTAAGTGGGCCACGTTCACGCGCATAGCCTCCTACTCGGCATTGGTGCTCACACGTACTCGGCCTCAGATAACGACGACGACAACGCATCCTCAACGGTCACAGAATGAACTTGAACACCGACGGCACAGGATCGGAGGGTAATGAGGACGTTCATGCACTCCTCGATGGCGTAGTGCTTGCCCTCAACATTGTCAAGGACGCGACCGCAGCATTTCCGCCACTTCAGTCCGCAGTAGGAGGAGTGGCAGGCATTGTAGATGTCGTGAAGGTGAGTGAACTATGTGAAGCTGCCATGCGCTATGTTCTCATCCGTCTCGCTTCAGAAAATGCGGGCAAATACCGAGCAGATTAAGCTTCTCCATACCTATGCCAATCAACTCTCCGCCACTCTTCAGCATCCCGCCTTCAAGGATGGGAAGAATTGCCCAGACGACCTGCAGCGACGTATTGGTATCTTGGAGAGGTTGTAATCGCTTCGCCTTAATTCGTCAGACTACTTACTCCCGCGCAGGCAGCTGAAGGAGATAACGAAGGAAGTTCGCAAGCTGACCTCTCGATCCAAATTCTCTCGACTTCTCAGCTCAGATTCGCTAGCCGGAACGATAGACGAATATCTCAGACAGATATCTTGGGCTATCAATAACTTTGTTGTAAGTCTAAATCGCAATTTGAAGAGCAATATACTTATTCACTGTTGTTGTGTGTAGATCGGAGGAACGATGAATATCGAGCTTGCCGTTAGTGTGCGTGACTCTACACTATCTCTATATGTGCGACACTCACGGAGTGCATCACAGGAATTGGCTGTGACGGTGGAGAAGGGCTTCGACAAGATGACCGATGAGATTCGGGGACTGAGTACTCAGATCGCGGCAGGCCGATGAAAGCGTTCCTGCTTCGTGTTCAACAGCGTGGCCTGACGTTATCCAATAGCCGGTCCTACTCCTCGATACGTTGACGCCGCCCGCTTCGACTACCCTGGCCAACGCTCCGTCTGCGAAGGTGGAACACGATCAGAGACTCTGAACACCATCTACCAGTGGTTTCTTTCGAACCAGGCTGGACTACGGAATCCCGAGGTTGTTCTGCAGCCACCGAAAGCAGACGCGCTGATATTCAGGCTTAGTGGCGTGGCCGGCACAGGCAAGTCGACCATTGCGCAGAGTGTGGCCAAGTGGTGCTCGGAGCGCGGGTACCTCGGCGCGAGCTTCTTCTGTTCTAGGGACAGCCGAGAATGCAGTGATGTCCAGATGATATTCCCCACGATTGCCTACCAGCTTGGTCTGTTTGTCCCCGAGTTCCAGGAGAAGACTGCGGAGGTCTTGAGGCGGGAACCCTACATCGAGAAGACTCTTGTCTCCCATCAATTAAAGTGTCTAATCGTCGATTCTCTACGAGAGCTGCCGACATTCCCTCCCTGCGCGGTCGTTATTGATGCACTGGACGAATGCAAGGACGATCAAGCGACACCTCTCATTATTCGAGCACTGTCGGAGCATGTCTCTGGCCTAGCTCCCTTGAAGATTTTTCTTACAAGCCGCCCTATCCCAAATATTGACCACAGCTTCCGTTCAACCGGCTTGATTAACACGACGCAGCACGTCATCCTCCATGAGGTGCCACCAGACACCACTGAGCGCGATATCGAGATCTTTCTACGGCAGAAGATGGCCGGTATCCGAGAGAGATACGCCTTGGACAGATTATGGCCCATGGCAAAACAGGTGGCGCGACTAGTCAAGCTCTCGAATAGGCTATTCATATATGCCGCTACTGTCGTACGCTTTATCGAGGATCCAAATGCTAGTGACCCAAGTGGTCGTCTTCGATTACTGCTCGAGGGTCAAGGGATATCGTCGACAAGTGTGGTAACCCCTTTCTTCCAGCTCGACAAGCTGTACCTGCAGGTTCTGAAGAGTGCATATCCGAATGGTTCCCGAGAGCTCAAGCTGCGGTTGAAGATTATCCTTGGCGCACTCGTCCTCAATCGCGATCGTTTGTCGCTAAATGCCATTGACATGCTCATGCTCCTCGAGCGCGGAACGACGAGGACTACGCTGACTCACCTCCAGTCGGTCGTCGTGGTTCCCGATGATGATAATGCCGTCATCCGCCTCATTCACCCTTCGTTCCAAGACTTCCTCACTGACGGAAACCGATGCCGCGACCCCGGTCTGCTGGTCAGTCCGGCAATCCAGCATAGACTCATTGCCCAGCGGTGCCTCGAGACCATGATCGGCGGGCTGCGAATGGATATCTGCAACATTGGGCGGAGCGTGCCGAACTCAGAGGTGCCTAAGCTTCCGAAACTCGTAGCGGAGCACATTTCTCCATCTTTGCGTTACGCCAATCTTCACTGGATACACCATGTCTTATGCGGCAAAGTCGACAGCGAGCTGTTTAACTTGCTCGTTAAGTTCATCGAAAGCTACTTGCTGAACTGGCTGGAGGTTATGAGCCTCCTTGGAGAGCTAGGTAGCGTGGTTTCGGCATTACAGACACTACGCGAGAGGTTACTGGTATATAACATATCTCACTTTCACTCAATATATCACTAATGATATTACTTCATTCAGGAACTGCCCCTTCCGCACTCTAACATCATTGCCTTACTGTACGATTGCCAACGAGCTTTACAACAGTCCTTTCCCGGCCTCAGTATCTCATGTCTTCAAGTTTATTCCGGTCTCGTCCCTTTTTGTCCTACATCAAGCAAGCTCAGAGAGCATTACACTGGGCAAGGAATTGGGCTTCCAATGGTACTCAGTGGACTTTGGCAGAATTGGGACACAAGTACTCTCGCTATCGAGGGCCATTCAGACACTGTAATCGCTATGTGTTTCTCGCCTGATGGCCGGCGCATTGTCTCGGCATCTTGGGACAAGACAGTCAAGTTATGGGATGCTGTTACGGGCTCCCATCTACACACCCTAGAAGGACACGAGGATGCAATCCGATGCGTAGCGTTCTCCCCCAACGGCAAATATATTGCTTCAGGTTCTGATGACAAGACCATCATCATTTGGGATGCCATTACTGGTGGCCACCTCCACACCCTGAAGGGTCACACCGATAATGTCAACACTGTGGACTTTTCTCTGGATGGCGATATCACAGTTCTTGTCTCTGGCTCTACAGACCATTCGATACGGGTCTGGGACGTCGACAACGAGACCGGCTCGTTCAAGACCCTGTCTCCCGCACACAATTCCGTTGTTACCAGCATCAGGTTTTCCCGAACTGGAAGATTGCTGGTTTCGGCCAGCATAGACGGTGCATGCAGAGTCTGGAAATTTTCAAGCGCCTGGACGTGCATCGCACAAGTTAACCATCCCGAACGCATTTTCATACTGTCCATCGCCGTCTCACCCGACGAAACTATTTTTGCTTCGGGGCAGGGACACCCAGCAAAGGACATTGTCTTGCATTCTGCTGTCGACGGCCATTCCATACACACGCTGCAAGGCCATACATCAACGGTGTGGTCTCTCGACTTCTCTTCCGATGGCGCTACGCTTGCCTCCGGCTCAGCAGACCGTACCATCATCCTGTGGGATATGGCGAGTGGTTCTACCCTTCGCACTTTGGAAGGACACTCCAATGAAGTGTACGGCCTCAGATACTCCCCTGATGGCCAACGGATAGCCAGCTGTGGCCGTGACCAGAGCATCCGCGTCTGGGACCTGTCTCTGATGTCAACCGAGAAGGAGCACAAGCCCATCAGGAAGAAGTTGAAGGAAAGGTTAACCCGGGGTCATGAATCAGGGATGTACTATGCTGCCGCTGAGTCTCAGCATATTTCGATTGTACGCTCCGTGGCGTTCTCACCCGATGGACGCATCCTTGCCACCGGCTCGCAAAACAATACAATTCGTCTGTGGGATGCTGCGAGCGGCGCTCAGTTGCGAGTGCTCGAAGGTCATCAAGGCCTTGTCTCGCACCTGTCATTCTCTCCTGATGGAAAGATGCTGCTCTCGTCGGAGTACAAGTCCAAAGGGTCGGAGGTTGGCGTTATTCGTTTGTGGAGTGTGAAGAGCGGTCGTTGCGAACAGACGTTCACTGGGCACAAAGGCGGCGTACGGATGGCGAAATTCTTTCCGGACGGGAAACGAGTAATCTCGTGCTCATACGACCACAGCATTCGTGTTTGGGAGATCGGCCAGTCAAGAACGCGCGGTGCGGAATCGCTCATCGTCTATCATAACGAAAATCTCCATATACCCTTCGTTGCTGTGTCTCCTGATGCCGCCATGGTGGTATTTAGCTGCTGGAGCGATGAACCGGATGACCATACACTTGGGCTAGTCAGCCTGACGACGCCACAGATAGTCCGCTTGATGCCTTATCAGTGTGCGTACGGTCCGCCCACAACACTTGCATTTTCCAAGGACGGCAGCCGTCTCCTGGTCGCCTCCAGTGCTGGATCAAGCAGAGTCACGCTTTGGGATATCCGAGCGAGCAGTCGAGCCGGATCGGCCCCCGTCGACGACGAACCGGACCTGACGTTACTCCACTGCTATGATGGAGGCGATTGTGCAGAGAAGATTGCATTTTCGTCTACCGAGAGGTCCTTTGTCACGGACGCCACCATGTGCTTCATCTCGCCGCAGCACCGGCCTCGCTCGGCCTCGCAGGACGACGGCCCGGAACACGCAGAGTACGCATTCTGCTTAGCCGATAACTGGCTCTGGTGCGTATCTGCTACCGAGAGGCGGAGGCTATGTTGGGTGCCGTCTGCCTTCCGGCTTGTACGGTCGCATGCGATGGCACTGCGAGGATCTATGGCGGTGTACCGTAATACGGTAGCCTTTGGCACAGAGGGTGGTCGAACTGTCATACTAGATATGGCTCCTTGCCTGCCTTAGACTTGTTGAGGGATAAAGAACATACTTAGTCGGCTGAGGGCGTATAGTCATTTGTCTATGAACTGAACTTGTGTCTCGTGTTGAAGTACACATAGAATGAAGCGTACTAGTATCGAACCATGTATAGTTTACATCCCACTGCATGAGCAGCCGAGTAGAGTCTTCGACCGCGGGCAGCCTCTTCCTTGCGCCGGCTGAAAGTGATTGCACATACCGCTCTGCTTCCAATGGAGGAAGACGTCCGTGAAATCGAGACGTTCCGAATGCAGAAAGAAGTGTTGACGTCGACAACGCCACCTCGGAGGTGCTGCAGAGGCGTGAAGTGGACCACAGCTTTAAGGGCAAGCGATGGTCAAGATGGTCCTGGGGGATCGCGAGCCTCTAGGAGGCATGCAGAGGCACTGATGTCTGAACCTCGAGTCGTCTGAGGACCGTCGTGGACTAAATAAGTTAAGCAGGAGTTAACTTTTCATGAGGCCTGACGGGAGCAAAGCCGGACGTAGTGATGGCGGTTGCAAGCATGTGAAGAAATTCTAGATAAAGCTTGTTACACGCAACAGATCTCACTGCACAGCTACGGTCGCCTATAAATCAGCGGTGGCGGTGACAAGAGATACATGCAGATGGCAGGGCGTATATGACGGCCACTCAAACGTTTGAATGTCGAGGCCAGATAACCGCAAACGTCCGCAGTCACCGCAGAGCATCTCATATCTGAGTTAAGCTGTGTCAGATGCATATACAGTACCGGGTGTCACTCACCAATTAAAAGTATATATAACCTTCAGCTTCGGCCGGAAGCAGCTCCTGATGTAAGTATCGAGTTCTCGTGGACATGAGTCTACTGATGCAGCTGGCACAGTGTTCGGACGCCACGAAGCTGTCTAAACACCAAATGTTCCGTGGTATCAACTTATCGAGGTGACGAGCATCGAAGCCCAACCAGACGCGGAGTTTGTGGCGCTTTGGCGCAAGCTATCTCATCCCAAGCTTGAGCCCCACGCGACGACGAAAATGATAAGTACGCATACGAAGGTGTGCAGATCAACAGCATGATGGCACGAATCGCAGAAAGCTGCATGGATCGAGGCCAAAAGCCCTTTCAGAATTTGCGTACAGCGAAGGGCTACGCACGGAGGGCAGTACCCTAAAATGTGATAAAGGGTTGACGGTACGGCTAGAACCAATAATAATTGCACGGCTTTCAAGCCGAACAGGCCGTGGCACACGACACCAAGACTTCTAAAGCGGCGGAGTGCTGATAGAGTGGGCGCCGCTCCCGCCACCAAGCCGCTGCACGGATGTTCTGATGCTTGGCACCAGCCACAGCCAGTTCGGAAGCTCGGCCCACCAGCATAAAATGTGCACGGCAGGGACGCATTGTTAGGCGTGCCGGAAGTCGCACCGAGGGGAAAACAGGGTGATCAATAAACAGGGCGACGCGAAGGCGGCGACATGTGCCAGCCGTCGTATACCGGACTTAAAGGAGATGTTGATCGCAGAAAGAGCCCGGGACGTACATCCGTGGGTCGAGAGGGGCGGAAGGGCACCCCAAAGGCACCCGCGGGGGGTGTTCGTAGTGACCCTGCAAGAGATCTGTCGGCTTGTTATATGGATCCAGCAAGGCGAAGGCACCGCACCCGACATCCGAGAGCGACCTGGACGTATGGACCGAACATCCGTACTCGCTTGACCCTCCTTGTCCTGGGCAGGCAGAAAGTTGTTGCATCTGTCCATAGAGAGAGGCACCTGGGGTGTTAGAACGCCGGAGCGCACACACAAATACAGCATCGCGGGAGGCGATCTGCGCCGGTTTCCCACCGCGCTGATGTCGGAAAGGTTTGCTTTCTTCGAAGTTGGAGCGCATCTGCGGAAGCAGCCGAACGTCGCCCAGCGGCGCCGTGGAGCGGGCACGCGAAATGATTGCGCGCACTCCGGCACATTTTTACTGCGGCACGAGATACGTCCATCCAAAGGATACAGCGTGTGTGAAGAACGCGAGCAGCATAATACTTGCAGACTTTGAGGCAGGAGAAGGATAGACACGCTGCTTATGCCCGCGCCATCAGCGAGAAAACCTAATGGATAGGTAGCGAGAGTATCAGTCACAGGCTACAATGAGAAGATTGTAGACGCCGAAGGCTCGCACGCACGAGACTCTAGGTAATAGCACTACGCCCTCATTGCAAGCTCTGGAGGTACTCCCACATGGGTTACGGGGCTCTCATGGATTAAACGCGGGATTCTCGGGGTCCCGTCCATGCTACGTGGGCGTTAGTAAATCTGCACTGCTCGTCTGATGGATATAGGGCAGAGAGCAAAAACGGACGGGACAGGTCACATTTGTATTGCGTATGACCTCGGCATAGTGGAAAGACGCACCTCGAACGGTCTTCTTCTTCGAACATAGTAAGCGTGTAGTAAATTTGCGTGCCCGCAGTCCAACACTGTGCCGACATCCACAGCATTGATCGTCCACGTCTTGATCCCAATAGGAAAAAGCTGCTTTGCAACAGCAGGATGTGAGACACGTGAAAAGCGTGCAGCACAGGATGACGCACTAAGAAGCATTATTTTAATTAGGATCTGAGTTCATCATCTGCAACTTGCCTGAAGGGTATCGAGACGATGTTTTACCCACGAACTATCATTGCGCCTCTCGTAACTGTCGCAGTGAGTGCGGAGGCGGAAGGGGATCTGAAGTGCCCCAAGCGCAGGACAACGTAATGTGACTTCGACTGTTTAGGGGAGCTCAGCATTTCTGTGGAGCTATCAGTGAACCTCTCAGGTAGTTTAGGAGTGAAGTACGTACAACTTGAGTGCTGAGGACAATCGAACGCCCTTGCTTGTTGCTGTGCCACCGCAGCAGAATCATGCATTGCTTCCCTTCGTAAGACCGTCAGCTGCGCATCGGAACTTGCAAGCACTGCGCAGCGTCCGTACTTCAGATCTGTCTGCGAAGATGTGATAAAATCAGCCTGCGACCCGCAGCCACAGCATATCGCCGAACCCATGTCGGATGTGGCCTTCGACGGGGTGGTCGGGGCAGCCAGTCGCAATAGGGGCGCAACCCCCGTGTAGCCGTCGGGTATGAGAATGTAATGAGTACGATGACCTTCTGGATCTATGAGATGAAACGTAACGAAACTAGCGGCAAACTCGGATACAATGGGCAAGGCTTCCGGACTCACCATATCCGCGAGCACCATATCCGCGAGCCTCAGGGAGCGTTTAATCCTACCCTCAACGCCAGCATGGCAAGGCGAGGGTGAGCTTGCGGTGACCTGCACGGTAACATCAAGTGGCATTGAATACCGAACCACATTTCTGCGAAGCAGGAGTATCATTGTTTCGCATATGATGTTGAGATATCGTCAGAGAGCTTTGAGGGACGATTGGGTTATCGCGACGGGCCTCCATAAGACCGATGCGGTGGAAGTGTCAACACTATCGCTGTGAGAACCTGGACATCGACAGTATTCATTTGCAAGCGATAAGATGCACGTCGTCTGGAGCGCGCGCTTATGCCGCCCGACGTATGAGGGCCCATAACGTTCTGGGATATGATGCATTTAGCGAAGTTGAAATGCAGAGGTCATGAGATCCGCTTGTCTTACCTGGCCTATAATTTCGAGCGGTGATCGACGTGCAACTCGAGAGAATAGAAAACAATGAGTGGACTTTGTACCTCTGATAGAGGAAATGATGGGATTGGGCGTCGAATGTAGAGATGATACGCGAGTCCGCTGCCGTACATGACAAGAGCAGTCGGAGTGTCGTAACATGCGTGCTTCGCGTGAACGCTATTGTGTACATCGCGCCTGTTGCAATATAACCTTTTAGAAAAGATAGCTCTACGTCGAACAAAAGACAAGAAAACGGACTGAGGCAATAAAGAGGGTTAGAACCTATTCGCGAAGGATTGAGCGTTGAGTGGCATTTGGTTATCCCCTCACCTGGCGATGTCCGTGGGAACTCGTATATGATCCACGGTGATCTCCCGGCATTTCCATCCTGAAGAGAAGCGAAAATAGCAAGTCAAACGCGGTCAGCCGAACGCCACGATGCCTTCAGAGTCTAGAGGCCGCGCGAAGAACTACGCTCAGCCCTGAAATTAATGCAACAAGTGAGAATAATAAATCCGCGAATGTGACTACAACATCTAAACATGGAAAAATACTCTGCATAGTAAGGGTATTAAAGTACTCGTATGACACCCCAATGTTCATATCTGTAATAAGCGCCACGCAGCACGCGCCTTACACACCAGCGACAATCCTACAGCGCAGTCAGTAATGAGAATGTAGAAGTGGGACGAATAGAACGTACTCCTCGGCCTTATTGAGCGCCTGGACCATGGAGACGACTTCTTTGCGGCGCTGAACGACGAATTCTGATTCCTTGAGAAGATCATCGAGCACCTCGGGCTTGTACAGCTCCTGGAGGAGCTCGCGTTGGAGGTTGTCCTTAGAGAACTGCACGAGAGTGAGTGAGATCGCCTTCGGGACCATGTCAATCATCTCGCGCTTGACGATGTTGAAGTACGAGTGGATGAGTAGTTCTGCAGCGGATGTCAATATCTGGACCTAAACCGACAGGAATGGATCGACGCACTGATGACCTCAGTTTCCATGAGCTCTCGGTCGTTGAGGGCAGCCTGCGGGCGGATCTGCGGCGGAGGCTAAGCTGCGAGTCAGTCTCTGGTCCCGTCGAAATCGCTGATAGTGGCGCCTACTGAATCCATGACAGCAGCTCCCTTCTTCTTAGGCGCATTCTTCGCAGAAGAGAAGAACGATCCGAAGAAGCTGGGCTCATCGCGCTTCGGGTCAACATCAAGGTCCTTGTTATTGTTGACCGCAGCGGCCGCGACCTTGTTCTTGTCTTGCGGCTTGCTGGCATTCAGACGCTCCGTGACTATGGACAGGGCCTATACAAGGATGGTCAAAATTAATCGGACAGTGAGGGCTATGAAGGCACTAACCTTATGGCCGTTCAGGAAGTCCGGATGTGTTGTATTCACGTAGCAGGCTTGCATACTGCAGCTCAGTCAGATTGAGCCATGGGTGAGATGTATAGGCGCACTTACGCAACAAGATCAGACACGAGCTTTGTTGTAGGGTTCATTGCGTTCTTGAAAAAATTGACGACTACAGAGTTGAAGCGCTCCTTAAGGGCAGGGAATCGCCTGAATTGTTGCTACAATGGACTTAGACATACACATGACAAATACATGATATAAAGAATGCTCACGATCTTTGTCAAAATTTGGCCGAGAATCCGAATCAGCTCGTCATAGACAAGTTGACAGCACTTCAGACCGGGTTCCTCCAGCCGTTTGATCTGCTGCTTGATAATGACCTCGAAGGCGGTAGTGCCGACGAAGAGCGCTGGCGTTGAACCCTAGGAAAATATTAATTAAACTCGGAGTACATGTGTACGCATATACCCACCGAAGAGTTGTAGAGAATCGTTCTGATATCGCCATCCTTAACTTGATCAAATGGATCAATGGTCTTGACACCCTGATTGAACAACTCATGGAAGACGAAGCTGATACGAGCACCACCTGACAGCTCGTTGAGCGACAGGTCGTTCGTGCCGCCATCGATGTTTGCGCGGAACTCCGAGCAGAAGTCAGTGATGACAGAAAGGACGACACCCGATGAGCTCTGGTCGCCCATAGGTCCTCCAAGAGTCATAAGCTCGGCATTGTATTTTTGCAGCTGCGTGCTAATCCGTTGCTTGATGTCTGGTAATGTCGCACGAATGTGATGCATAAGAAGCTATCAGGTTGTCAGCCTTCACAGCACGCGACTGGGTTACATCCGCGTACCATGTTGAGCTTACGCGCCAGGAACGGCGTTCCGCAGTACTGCGCTTTGCCCTTGTATGCAACATGATTCTCGAAGAACTCGCGTTCATACTGGAGAGCGACCTGGATAGGCTTGTTGTGGTCGATGTCGCGCTGACCACGGTTCACGACTGGAACATAACCCAAGCGCAGCGGGATAACCCGGCCTGCGAGAATATCCACGACGTCTGTTCCTTGATCCCTGTACCGACATCAGTAAAAGGCATCAGGGTAATCGTCCTGGCACGCACATGAGATCGATCTTGGTAAGCACACCAATCGTCCTCTGTCCCTCCTGATCCACCTCTCGTGCAAGCTTCAAGCCATCAGAGTTCGCTAAGTCAGTGTTGGCGGGGGTCACCGCGAGGATAATACATGACGGCTTCGAGATGAACTTCATGAGCATGTCTCGGATCTGCTTCTCAATGTCTCGCGGCTGGTCGCCGACTGGCACTTTTGTGAGACCAGGTAAATCAACAAGCGTAAGAGTGAGGACATTGGGGGAGTAGATGCGCAGGTTGATGGGCAGTGGCGAGATGCCGGCATTGCGACCAGTCTTGGCCTCAGTGTCGCGAACAATTTCCTCGCGAACCTTATTGAAGTCGTAGAACTTCTGGCCAGGCAAGTGAAGGAATTCACCCCATTCGTTCTCGTTCGCGTGAGGATCGTTGCCGTTGAGCTCAGCTATGAAACAATGAGCGTCGAAGAGGAACGTAGGAGAGAGAGACTCACGTTTAGCTGTTCCATTTGGTGCAGCTGGCTGTGCTGGTCTGTTTATGAGTTGCAGAACCTAGGGTACGGATGTTACGGATGGCAGAAGCACCTTATGTGCGACATAACTCACTAATGGTCTACGCGTTACAATTCCAGTTCCTCGTGGCAAGAAATCGCGGCCGACAATGTTCTGAAATTAAGGAGTTATAGTTAGCAAACATTGGTGAGAGTATAAGATACACACCTCAAGCACAGAGCTCTTTCCACTACTCTGGCTACCCAGCACGCAGATTTGAGGCAAGTCTATTTGAGACGCCGATGACCCCACGGCGGTGAAGACATCCTGTAGCTTGTTAATGACCCCGACAATCTCTGAGCCGAGTGTGTTAGTCGCCATTATGCTGACCGAAGCGTAGGAAGATGAGAGTGAGGAAGAGTGGTGGAAGTGCTGAGACAAGTGCGTGTTGCTGTGCGCCTGCAATTGGGACGCGCGGCTGCTGGGCCGCAGCCTACAATGAGGATATGACGTGCATATTCACTCAAATGACATCGCATTCCACAGTATAAAAAGGTACACAAACTACTCCTTATATCCCGCCAAGTTTATGGTGGTACTGTAGGCGAGAGACACGATTTCTGTAAATTTACCCCGCGATTTATTTCCGTGTCTGGTAGGTTTCGGGGCGCTAGAGCGCCTATGACGATTTTGATGCGGATCATTACCAGATATTGACGTTGACGGATATTCCTTCTTAATGGTGGTAGAGAAAGTGAAAAAATCCTTTATGTATTATTGCATCGACGGCGGAGGGACAACAGACTACAGCTACAACTATGAGCGAAACTCCTGGGGTGGTGGCGGTGGCTTAACCATAGTTGAGGCGGAAGATATCGTTGTAACTGTCGGACGAGGCAAGACGAGGTAAGACGGGTGATGTACACAAAGACATAAGCAACGCTTACATGTAGTAGCTACTGCCATCCGGTATAAGCTGGAAAACTTGGCTGAACTGGAGGGGGTTCGAGCCTTCGTCGACCTGTAGTAATTGCATGTCAATATTTGGGTTCAGTAAGAACTGTCAGGTTGCGCACTATGAGCAATCCAGTGACGCTAACGATCAAGCTCGCAACGGAGGGGGAAGATGGCTGAGCATCGAGAGTGGTGACCTTGTGCTGGACCGTCTGGAATGGCAGAGTCTAACAAGGCATAGATTAGCTCCCGAAGGGTTGGGAGGGATGTCTAACTTACAACCAGCTTCTCAGCGATGGCGGCATCTCCAAGAATCGGGGTGCCCTCCCAGGTAAGCATAGATTGTGGCCGCTGCAGTGATGCATTAGCAGGTATTAGGAGGTCGGCATCCCAATAGATGGTCCATGATCAGAACTAGGATCTTGACGCACGTAGAGGCTCCGCAAACCCGCACGATCCGAATCGAAGGTAGAATAATAAAAGCTGGTAAACTGCTTTGCAACCGCGTTGATGTCTGCCATGGTTGAGCGAGGTGGGGGGTAGAGGAAAAGGGTCACTGCAAAAAAGAGATTGACAAGTTCCGTTAACCGGTGGCGTTACAGTAACAAAAGGTAAGTAGCATTTTATAACATCCTTTCACCTTTCCCGTGACCGCGTTGTATTGAGATAACCGCTTCGCTGCTTATCGACCGCCATCACGGTTCACAGAAACCTTGTGTCTGGAACAAGCCCCAATCACTCCCGTTTAGTGTGGATGGGAACTGCACAGCTGCTATTCTATCGGCATGGCTACATTTAATCAAATGATGCCTGCGACCCCAGCAGAAGGCCAGATCCAACGCCCAAGCATGCGCCGCAAGTCCTCCGCCCAGAACCTCCTTACATCCCTGAAGCCCGGTTCTTTAGGACAAGCCTCGCAGGGAATCGCAATCTCAACCATCTCTGGTTTACCGTTCGGTGCCGCGCTTCCAACGCCAACAACGGGAACAGGTTCCATGGTGCGAGACTGGGACGTTCAGTCATCATTGACGGATTCAACCCATGCGTCGAGCTTGCTAAATGGTGGCGCCGTTGCGCAAGGAACGTCAGTCGAAATGCTGCGGGAGCTGGTCAAGAAGAGGATCATCACGCTGACGTACTTGCGGAATGTACATGAAGGGTGCGTGTGCACAACACTCCCCGTTGTTATCCGCTGAACGCGTCGTATAGGCGAAGTCACTGGTTTCATACAATCATGATCACCCGTGGGGAGCTCGGTAAGGTATTCTCGAATACAGCCATGAAAAATCGGTATGTCGGCTGCTACCCACTTGCCCTTCGCGACAGACAGAACCATATCGCAGGACCTATCGCTTTGCGTGTCTTGGCATGTCGCTGGCCAACTACTTTGACGTTAAGGAGCCTCAGGATTTTCTACGCGGCCTGTTAAACGCACTAATGGAGTTTGATCAATCAAAAGAGGATGGGGAGCGGCCGAAGATGGTGCGTGTTGGTCCCTGTCAATTATCTCGTAGCTGAAGCGTCGCCAAAGCGTTCACTTTTCAGGTCGGGAAGACCAAAGCGACAGCTAGGAGCGACAGATTACGCGATATCCTACACGGATTCATTAGAAACCTCCTTCTTGGTCATGCCTCATGTGGTGTGTCTCACTATCGAGTCTCTCGTATGCCGTGGAGTTGAAGCCACGTACAGCCTTTCCCCTTAGATTATCATCAAACCCTACTCTCCCTTCTGGACATCCTTTCCGAAGTGTACAACAAAATCTCTAAGATTCTCGGCCCGTCGCCGTTCCCAAGCTCTGGACAGCACATGACAGGGCCGTTGGGATTACTTTCGCCACATCCTGGTGTCTCCTACTTATTCTCGGGCACTGATGCGCTGCCCACGGACGATGGCGAGAACAGTCTTTGGGGAATTGCGCACGGGGGATCTGCTGCAGTGTATGCTGGGCAATTAGGAAGTCCACCGCCCAGCTGGACATCGGCGCTCGGAGACGCGGTTAAGCAGATAGACAACCGACTAAAGGTGCGCCACACGCTCACTCCCGGGAGTTACTTTCTGATATCCTCCCAAGAAACTCATCGCGGTTTTACTAAAAGAGCTCGATGACTTTGCGCGGACAGGCATTAAGGATGAGCTTGCGTCGCTCGATCCTCTACTTCGCAATGTCGAGGTCCTCGAAGAACGCGGCGAGATTTTCGACCTCGACCAGTGACATCCGCGACTTGCTAATATTATACATATATCTATCTAATCGGGGATATGTACGATAGGGATGTACTACGTTATATGGATACTTGGACTCGGACGAGACGTCTAAACCCTTTTTGTATGATCTGTGTGCGACCCTGGGTCGCTGAGTGCGAAGACAGTCCCCGCGCTTGACTTTGCCTCTGATCACAATCAATGAGTCACCTCCATATGTCGCCAGCAAGAACTTGACATACCTTCCCATGTTCTGACGGACCACAGGAGCACATGACGGCCATGGGGCCTGTACCAAGTCATCCTGCACAAAAGAGGAGTGGGCGCGAAGGCATACCACGGAACATTTCTGCATCTTTCGCCGTCACTCGGGTTCACTCCGCTACCATGACCATCGCTCAAAGTGCAGACAACAAGGCAGTTGCGGTGTACTGTGCGTCGTCGCTGGGGCATAGAAAAGCGTTCCAGAATGCAGCAGTCAGTGCGTGGCAGTGTTCGTTCGGAGCTTGGTCAATGCATGCTGACAATCGCCGTGCGGCTGCCCATGAACAGGCGTGGGCCATGCATTGGGCAAAGCGGGTAGGCCGCTTGTCTATGGCGGAGGTAGAAAGGGGATCATGGGTGTGGTATCGGGTGCAGTGCTGGATGCAGGCAGTACCGTCGTTGGTGTGCTGCCTGCGGCTATGATCGCCTCGGGAGGAGAGAAGGAAGCCGTGAGTGGAGCCGCAGAGGCCAAGGCCGCGAAAGAGGCACTTTGTGACCTCGAGAAACGTCGGAATGTACGTCGTTCATGCTGGATGCCCAGCCGATCGCTGACTTTTGCCTTCAGGAGGAAATTGTGGGTCCTGTTCGTATGTCCTGCTGCGTGCGGATGCTGATAAACATGGCAAGGTTGTAGTAGACTCGATGCATGAGCGGAAGCTCGAAATGGCGAGGCGATCGTGCGGATTCATTTGCCTGCCTGGCGGATACGGAACCCTCGAGGAGGTGCGCAGTATCTCCCGTCCGCTTCGAATGTAGATCTGACGGATTTGTACACAGCTGCTAGAAGTCACAACGTGGTCGCAGATTGGGATTCACAACAAACGTGAGAGCTTGACCTTCCACGCCGTAGAGAAGCACGCTGACACAGCGGGTATAGCTGCCGTCGTCGTGAATGTCCTAGGTTACTACGACCCTCTTCGCCAGCTTATCCGGAACGGCGTCCGGGAGGGCTTCATACAAGAGCGCAACGAGAAGCTTATCCTCTTTGTCGATGGCCCGGAAAAACATACCGACCATGAAGACTACGATTGGGGCAAAGCCGCACTAGAAGCACTGGACAGCTGGCAGGCAGAACACAAGGAAATATACTACGATTGGACAAAGCGCAAAGATGGAGACGATACGCGCCTCGGCTCCGAGCTAGAGGCAGCGTAACTTAGTGTAAGTGGGTGGCATATCTATCATGCGCCTAGTAGACCCTACACAAATAGACCTGACTCCCAATTCGTCTCCGTCATATCGAAGCAAGAGCCACCGCCGCGCGCTCATAAGCGATGGGAGCACAGATTCAAGACGTGTTGCATGCACGAAGTCCGATGTCGGACGTATGCACGCTTGCGCTGTCTAAGACAGCGGCCTTTCTAGTGGTGTGCATATTTACTTTTTCTCGCGCAGCGCTTGTCCGCTAGTGTGCCTGCACGCTGCCAAGATGTTTCCCCCTTGCTGCGGCTCAATCAGCCGCCTGGACCTGCGCGACGACGGTGGCTCCGCGTACAGCAGCATGTGGGTGCCAGTTTCGCACGCCGCAGCGCAGCGCGCGCGCGCGCGTCCCTCTTCTCGCCTTCCACCGCGCGGGGCTCCTTATTTTCCGGCGTCGGAGGCTGCCATATTACCTATCTTTCGCGTGGACGCGAAGCCCAAGGGGCAAGCAGGGACCCAGGGAGAGACTGGCACAGCACAACACACCGCCCGAGCTAATCTCGAGGATCGCCCGCACGACCGTTGGCGGAGGGGCCGCGCTCTAGGCTCAACCGCTCGCTCGCTTTCGGTGCCAGCCAGTCGGTGTCCTCAGACGCGATGTCTCTGATGCCAGGAGAGCAGTGCGACGCACAAACGCGCGTAATGCTCCTGTGTGCGTCACGGTGTGCGGCGGAAAATCTCCTCAGGCCAGGATATACTCCTACGGAGGCTGGGGTCCCTGCGCGACCGTTGCCGCTGGATCTTGAGAATAGGCGAGGATCCTACGAAAACGTTCGTGGCTGCTTCTGCAACAGGTGGGCTGAATTGTCTAGGATGAGCATATCTTGCTTGAACTAGCGGTTGTACATTGTCGTCAAACGGCGCCTGTGATCGCCAGCCAGACATGAGATCTTGAGACTTTGAGACTTTCAATTTTAAAGCTTGAATCGCGAGTCAAAATTCTTCAAAAACCACCGAACTGTTGTGCTTATTCATGTCGCGAAACAAGCTTTTTCACTTTTCTCACGGTCGACGATCACACACGCATGCACGAGTGGTGTAAAAGCATTTCATCCATTGCTAGCATTAGAGACGTAACAACGACAACGACAGCAAAGAATGAAAAATGAATACACAGTGTGCTGCAACAAGCCCAGAAAAGAGTGTCGACGATAAGCATAAATCACGAATAAATTGCAAGCAACCAGCGGACACGATAATGGGGATGGAACAGATGAGTTGCGACTTGGGAAAGAGAGGAAAGAGACATGATGTATGCGATGGGGGAAAAATACAATGCGGTTCGACCCGAGCAACCTGCAGCGAGCACCCATATGAAAAAAAAAAGTCCTCGACGGATGCCTGCCAAGGCCGACGGGAGTATGGTATAGGAGATTATAGACAGGTCTGAGCGGAGGCAGTTCGTGTAGGGCGTACAGCCGCACGTTGCAAACAGCGCAGCGGCAAAAAGACGACGTGGGATACGGCAGAGCGGGTTCTAATGACTGAGGCGGTGAAATGGGTGGGCGAAAGCGATGCGGCGATATACAGCAAGGTGGAGGAAGCCGGGAATTATGAGTGGCACGCGGTGTGGCGGCGCTTCTAGATGCCAGTTGGACGGATAGGCTGGGAGCGAGATGTAGCACAAAAAAGGCACGATTAAACGGATATGCGGGCATGGCGCTGGCACGTGCGGCGGGGATGCGGAAGACAGGCCCTGAACACCGAACGGTGGTGGACGTCGGGTACCTGGGCGGGCCACACAGCATCAAGAAGCCCTTGTCGATGTCGGGGATACGGCGGCGGACAGAGCGGATCAGAGGGCGTTGAAGGGTCGTAGAACCACCCACGACGGTGCCGGTCGCATACTTTTGGTTTCAGAATTCGGCAAAGATAGGCGGTGCGGACGGGCCAAGCGACAAACAATACAGTGCTCGCCTGCAGGTCGCCGTAGTGGTTCCTTAAGTCGCTCCATGTCCATCCTGCGGGTGTGCCGCAGTCTTCTCCTTGTGTCTGCTGATCTTCTCGACGCCCGCTCCGAGACATGTCCGCCTAGTGGCCTCCTATAAAGCGCATATAGTCAGTGAAATCTGCGAAAAGCGGGCAGATCCAGTTTACTTACATCGTCCTCAGACTCCTCTTCGTCCTCCTCACCATAGGAGTCCTTCGGGCTGTCCTCCACATCTGCGTCCTCGTCGTCCGAGCCGAAGCTGCTCACGCCCGAGGCGCTGCTCTCGCTCTCACGGCGCACACGAGCGTTACCCGCACGCTCAGGGAGCTCCATCTCTCCAGCCACTTGCTGCGCATCGATAAGGGCACCCGCGGGAACTGGAGGCGACACCGCGCGTGCGGTATCCTCGCTATCTCTCCTCTCGGGCGTCGCCTTGATGATGTGGCTTCCCGATGATGGCACGCGCTCCATAGACCGCGAGTGATGATGCACTGGCCGATGGTGGGCAGGGAGGGCGATAGCAGTGGTGACATGTTGCGCCTCCTTCGCTGCAACCTCCTCCGGGTTGCCCTCCTTGGCTTCCGACTTCTCGGCCGCTGGCTCGGGGGCCTCGCTGGGTGTTTGCTGGGCGTCGTGGTTCTCCTTTTCAGCTGCCTCCTTCGCCGCCTTTGCTTCTGCCTCCTTCCGAGCTTGCTCGCGCTGCTCCTTACGCTTCTTGAGCCATGCCATGCTGCTGCCGTCGTAGTCATCGTCGACGGCCTCCCGGCGGTCCTTGCCCCAGCCGGTTTGAGTTGCGCCGACGCCAAGTGCAGAGTTGCCCTGGACGCGCGCCCACTTGTTGTCCGCACCGACGGAAGCGGCAGTCTTGACACTGCCCATGCCTCCGTAGCCCCACTCGACGAACTCGTTGTCGTCAGTGCTATTGACACAAGTCAGCAAACGAATACATCACAAAAGGGGGGTGCACGACGTACCGAGCATTGGCGAACAGGTTCGTCTTCGCCAAGTTCGACCTCTTCGCACCGTAGACACGGCCGTTGAGCATCCTCAGCTGCCTCCCGGGGCCGTACATCTGGTTGGTGCTGCCGCGCCGCGGGCGCGTTGCGTCCTCGCTCTCCTTGACCTCCTTGCTCTGCACCCTCCGCAGGTCGCTCGGCCCACTCTGAGTGCGCCAGAGCCCGCCGTCGCTGGACGAGCTGTTGCCGTGGCTGAAGCCGAGGAACGTCTTGCGCTTTTTCGCGCCGTCGCTCGTGCTGCGTGAGAGTGGCACACCGAATCCGCACTCGCTATCGGAGGCGCTGCTGCTCCGCTCCTTGGAGTGGCTGCGCGCAGGCGTGCTGGCCCCGGCGGGCGTCGCGGCGCCCGAGGACAGGCCGTCGTCGGAGTCGCGCGTCGAGCTCCTGAAGAGTTGGTTGACGCCAAGCGTAAGGACATCCTCTGTCGAGATGGTGCTGCGTCCTAGGGGCCCGAGAAGGGGTTTCAGGAGCTTCTTGGTGAAACTCTTCTTCTCTCGTGAGAGCTCTGGACGACGGCCGAGAGGGGACTCTGGGCAGCTCTGAGGGAGGCGCTCGACCGATGATGAGAGGGCGATGTTGGGGGAGACAGGAGTGGTGATATCCCAGTCCGAGGAATCGTCCTTGTCGGAGCCGCTGGTGCTCGAGGAAGCGGTATTGATGGGTGCGACGGTGGGCTTCGAACTCGAAGCGAGCTGGAGATTCGCGTTGCTCGTAGTGGGAGTGGAGTCCGATGGTGTGTGATGATCACTAAACAACAGTGACGAAGGCGCACCGGAATTGGACCTTGGAGTGTCGATAGCATCACGGGAGACGGGGAAGTTGCTCAGATTCTCGACGCTGTCGTCGAGGAAAACATCGGGGAGCTGGAGCTCGTCTCTCCGGGGCTCAGGAAGTGGTGCAAAGCGGATCCTGCGAGTCTGAGGCGCAGATGAGGGCTTCTTTGCAGAATTGTTTCTCGATACAGAAGAGCCCGGATTCTGCGACGATCCTCCTCGAGGGATCGCACTGTATGGGTCCCTCACAGCAGCGTAGGTGAGGAAGTAGTTGTCCTGTTCAGCCAGATTGTGCGGTGAGGAGGACGAGGCGGAAGATGAGAGCGAAGAAAGAGATGAGACAAGGTTTGGTGTGCCGGGCAGAGAGGTAGTGTGCGAGTAGGGCGAAGTCGATGGTGAGGGGTTGAGCAGAATGCCGTGGCGGGGGAAAGATGGAAGCTGAAGGGTGGTTGCCATATTGGGTGACGGTCGTCGGTGTCTGATCACTGTCGAGTGTGGTGACGAGAGTGTTTGAAGGGCGACGACAGGAGCGGGGGTGACGGAGGAAAATGAAGGGAGATGGGGAAGTTAAAAGCGAAAGAGTGGCAGGAAGGGTGGTAAGTATTAACAGTCCAAGAAGAGAAGCGGGATGCAGGGTCGGCGGGTGGAAGCGAGCACTTGGCAGATGGCACTCCCCGGGGTCCCGCTTGCTGGTGCTCCTCAGGTAACACGTGCCACTTTGAGGCCTTCCCAGCGTCTCCGCCTAGACTCCTGCGGGTGCGCCCACCTGACCCTTTCTCGCTTTGGGGCCAACTCGCGAAAGTCCCTCGCCTTCGTGCTCGTCTAGACGAGTATAAAATCCGACTATCAGCTGCTTTATTGGTGTCCACACCGTCTTGCCACCGTCCGCTCCCCAGCGTTGCCTGCTTTGGTGACGCGTGCGGGGAGCATTCCCCGGCACTATGCGTTTCTGCGGAGCTACAACCGCTTGCTTCCGCCACCGGTGATCGCCGGTATGCCCACCGTTGCCATATTTATCCTCATAACCTTCCCTCGAACACCGTCTGACAATTCGCCCTGTGAGCGGTGTGGGGATCGCATCCAGGAATACCACCCCGCGCTCACACTCGCTATCGCGCGGGCTTGAAATAACACTCATTGGCTCTCCTCCCCACCAGGTGTTTCCTGCCTGCAACACCGAGTCACCTGTTGGAACTCTATCTTCATTCGCGCTTCCGCAGGTGCACAGGTCACAGGCCGGGTTTGGCGGGTAAGGTCCTCGCACTCCTGTCCTCGTCTCTTGCGCCCTTCCTATGCAACAGTAATCTCCTCGATCTAGTTCTTACTGTTACGATCTGGTCTAGTGCGTGAGACTGCCTGACCCTGCCTGGCCTCTTGCCATTTCACGCCTCCGTCATGATCAGCGCTCCTGCACGTGCTCCTACTCCTGGATTGCAGCCTCTAGGTACGAGTTTCCGAACCCTTGGGCACCCTGTCAATTTCAGCGCCTCATGTACGGCCTCACCAGCTCTGCTACTTGCCTGGCTGTTTGAAAGCTGGTCCTCCGGCGGCTTGCAGCTCCCTGACTTGTTTGACACACTCGTCGAAGGTCCCTATCTCCCCTCATCCTCCTTTTTTTCCCAATCGGATCTGTCTTCTCCTAAGATACATCCCGCTTGAGCATTGATCAACAGCAAGGGTTTGATCTCTATCTCAGAGCTGTCCGCTACCCCGATCCAGCCTGTCATAACCCGGTAAGTCCCAACCTTAATTATACCATTCCCACCTTTCGGGCTCAGCCGTGGACAAAGCAAGATAGTGACACATCAGCCTTCGTGCAATACGCCTGTACTCATCCCGTCGGTAAAGCTCCGGGACAAAATATTGCAGAACATTCCTTTGAAGACCACTACAAATTCCCCGCACACCGCCGTGATGCATGCTGTGTTTGCGTTCGCATAGGCACGGTCAAGCCGCGGCCAGCGTGTACTGGCGGCGGAGCTGCGCCTCGAATCATAACAAGCATTTCCCGGGCGCTGTCACCAGCGCAACCGGTCGCGCAACGTCCGTACACGTATGCCCGCTCTCAGACCTCCCGCGACGCCTGTCACCTGTCTGTTCCGCAGAAACCGCACCAAAGACTAACTCGCCTGGTCCTGGCTGTGTCGCCCTTCCGGCACGGCCTGCCAGATCGACGACTTCCTGCCGCACGACCGGGCCAACGCATCCGTGCGTCTTGGCAATCGTGCCGTCGTTATAACCGCGATGCCTTCAGGGTCTCTTTCATATGCACGGACTTGTTTCGTTCCAAGTGGAAAGCTTGTCCGTTCACGGCCTCTCCCACACGGCGCCGACTCGCGGCGGACGCAGATCCTCCTCTTATAGCGTGCCCCCTGCTTTTCGCGGCCTGATTCTTGCGTGTTCTTCCGGCTCATTCAGGTTGGCTGTTCGCAGCTGTGGCGTCGTGCATGTGCAGTGCGTATCCCCGCGGCACCCCTGCTGCGCGCTGTGACGAACGGCGTGGGAAACCGGGGAACGCTCGCCTTTGTGCACTGTTGTCCTTATCCACGCTTCTCACGCTGGGAGCATTGGGACATTGCTGCGTTGGAGTCTTGGAGAACATAATCAGGTGGGTATCAGATACAATTCAATTCGCTGTCATCCTTCTAACCGGAGTCCCTGCCCGACATGCTTATTAGCTTCGTCTGACTAGGGCCCGCGTTTCGGCGAGTACTCGTTTATTGCCTTCTCTCCTGCCTGCAACTGGAGCATTTAGAAGAGAATTAGCTATCTTGGTTCTCTACTCCAGTACGAAGCGAAGGTGCAGCCCCTTCGTGACGTGTCGAAGGAATATGCACGATTCCTATTGCAACACAGCTCGGACCCGCCAATATAAAGAAATTGGTACCCTTTATCTAATTTTTGCTGTTTTTGCTGGTATGATTCCTAAAATTTTTATCATGCCTGCAGTAAATCTTGCTATATGCGGGGAAATGTTGCGGAACAACTGCTAGGCGCCTGCGTACTCGTGGCGGCGGGCGCACACTCAAAACTATATTCCTTCCGCAACACCCATGATGCATGGTCATTGGAGCCACGAACGTTCGTATTGAGTTCCGCGCCACCTCATCCTTCAGCCTGCCCAGGCCGCCCCCGGGGCCAGGGCTCGTTCGGTCTCCAGGCAACAGAACCTCCGCCAGACTCGTTCTCCTTGCCACGTACACCCTTTTCCCACTGTGCCCCTTTCCACGCACTCTAGGCACCCGCCGACGCCAAGCGGAGGGACGCCGCCGCTTACTGCTTAATGAGCCGGGCTGCGGGGGACCCCGGAGTTGGCCGCGGTTGCGCTGTCCATCCGCCCGCATCCATCAAACCAAGGTTGTCCGGACTCGTATCAGCAGGGCCAGGCCGGGCTCGTCGGGGCAGCACGGGCTGTCGCTTGCTCTTACGACTGCTGCACGGCACGCGCGTAGAGCCTTTCTGACAACTGCTTTGTCGTCAGCGGGAAGCTTTGCCGGGTTTTTCCCGCCGACATGACGAATGGCCGTCGGCAAGGGTTACGTGGCGCCTGTAGTAGGCAGGGTCTCACTTCTTGCTCGTGTGCACGAACCTGGATGCTGCGTGTGAGGTGAGTGCGTCGTGTATAGGTATATGTGCACACGAGCTCAGCGTTTCGGGTAGCGCCGGCCTGCAGGGATACTCGAACGTGCCACCTGCCCTTGATATCTCTAGTCGGGCACGCACCGGTTGTGACGGAGTTGCCAGTTCTCCAAATGCCAAGCAACAACATGTTCGTCCGTCCGGTCTAGACGTCGTCGGAACGCTCGTAATGACGCCACCCCGAAAGACAACAATGGCTGTTTCGTTTTTTACGTCCAAAACATCCTCACACCGCTTCACGCACGTTCTCGCCCCCGCGCGCGAAAGTTCGAGCACAACTGGACGGATATCAAAGCGCAACGTAAGACCCCTCTTCGCGATACCGAAAATTCTGCCAGCCTCGTTTGCTGAAGTTTCTCCATGGGTATGCCGTCTCGCCTTTTCGAGGCGATCCACGTTTTGATTGGCGAAATCTAGCGATAACCTAGCTTTTCTTTGCGTCAAGCCCGCGTCACGGCTACATGGGATTTGCGACGTGTGGGAAGGCAGCAGTGGAATCTCTGTCGTAAGGTCGCCGAAGCTCGCGCGTAGCGAACTGAGCAGACGCCTCAGGTTTCGCGCGCCGGCGATGACGTCGTTCCTCCATGATTGTAAGTCTACTTCATTTTCGTTATCTCTTTTCTTATAGAAGTCTAGCCTGAAGATTCCACCGGCGCATGTTGTAGATAACAAAGCTTGAACGCCCGAACCCTCGAATCAGCTCTCGCTCTCCAGTAGGTACATCCGGGCGGTATACGGAGTCGAATTCCTTCTAGTTCATGCAAGAGTCCCTCCGAACATGGCTTCTCATCTAGAAAGGGCTGATGTGAATGAGAATGAGACAAATCGCGCCACCTCGCAAGTTGACTTGGTGGAGCGAATGAGCGTGCGTGAGGTTACGTACGTCGGAGGCATCAGCCACGTTCGAGCTCCTTCGAGTCATCTCGCCGCCAGTATATCGCCTTCTGTCCGCGGATGCCTCCAGCTTCTTCCGCTACCGAGCGCAGCGGGGGGTGACGAGGGTGACGGACATGAGGTCCGCCGTCACGGTCTGGGAAGGCGAACCAAGGCGCTGGGTCCCGACTGCCTTCTGCGTACACAACGGCGGCACGCCCTCTGCGACGTCCTCTCAGGCTCACGTCCTGCAGCACTGGACGACCGCCCACACTGGTCGGTCGAGAGACAGCTCGCGCCTGTTGTTTTCCTCCGCTGTTTTCGTGTCCCCAGCTATGGGTCGATAGCCGCTCGCAATTACAGATCACAGTAGAATGGTAGGTCCCATGGCCTCTCTTTCTGACTTATCTGATGCATCACGTTCAGGAACCTTGCAGAATCTCGTGCGTCCCTACGCGGCCTCCCATCGTACGGTGTCCCCTGTCCAGGGCAGAGCGAGTGTGGGCCCCGGTCGCGGCATTTCCCATTACTGATACTGCAGGCGCATGTTCTCGTTGGCTAGGCTCTCACAGCGATAGCGTCGACGATATCTATCGGATCGGTCTCATACAGGCCCACTGCGAGCTTCTCCGGCGGTATCGCTGCATCATGTGCGAAGCATCGATACCACCCTCGCAGGCGCAAGGGCTGAAAGGGTCTAGTATTCAATGCCCACTCGACGTTCCCGTGCAGGAGACCGCGAGCCCGCGGCTCACCCTCGCCTCGCCGGTTGCTGATACAGCGCGGTATTAAACCTTCCCTGAGGCTCGCGACCATGGTGAGTCTGGACGTTCTGTGCCTCGACGACTGTGTCCGGGTCGCTTTTTCATTACGTTTCACGTAACGGGGCCAAGTGAGTACAACACTCATGACCGACGCCGTACGGGAGCTAGCCCCTATTGCCACTGGCTCCCCGATCGTATCGTTGAAGACTACATTCCTATATGGGATCAGCGGTGTGTTGCGGCTATAGGCTGATGCTACTAGCTTCTTTGCAGATGTTGAGTACGGACGCCACACGCCGGTCGTAAGTTCTGGCATAAAGCCGATGGTTCTATAATGAGAAGCAATGTATGACGTTGCTGCGGGGGCAAGGTACCCCATTGTCCTAAAAACCCAGGTTGTACGTATTTCAATGCTAAAGTCCCTTGGAGACTCATTGATGGCTAGCAGAAACGCTTTACTCCCCTTAATTGTGGACATCATGTGTTGCTCTTGGCGCATAAAAGAGTTCCCTTGGCTCCCGCATTGACTATATCAGTTATGAGATAGTCTGTGGGTAAGCCTTCGATAAAATATCGTCTCGATACCCTTCAGGCCGGTTGTAGATGATCAACTCTGATCCTTCGCGAAAATAACGCTACCCGGTGCGTCATCCTGTGCCATGCGCTTTTCTCATGCTTAACGTCCTACCATTCCAGAGATCTTCCCCCCAAAGAACTGAAGATATGAGCGATCGACGCTGTGGCAATAAACGTGATGCTGTACTGTGGGCGAACAGATTTACTGAAGGCCTGCTGTGTCCGAGGAAGAAGACCGGTCGAGGTGCGCCTTCTTTTCATGGCGCCCAAGGTCACGCACAATACAAATGTTGCCTGCCTCAGCCGCTTGTGTTCTCTGCCCATCAGTCAGGCTGGCGGTTACCAACGCCCAACCAACTCCCGCGCAGCACGGACAGGACCCCGGGAATCCCGCCCTCGATCAACGAATCAACGTCAGCCCTGTCCTCTGCGATCTGGTCAACTCTTTCGAACCTGGATTCGGGATGGGGCGCTATTACATGGAGATCTCGTGCGCCCAGGTTTTGCGCGCCTTCTCATCGTAGCCTGGGACTGATACTTATCGATACAAGTTTACCAAGCACCCCCGCTGAAGTCGTGTGCCCAAGTTGCGCGCTTCCCCTTCTGCTGTCCCAAAGTTAGCAAGTCTCGTGCTGTCCTCGTTCGCACGCACACGGCTGACCTTTCGGACAGACGTGTCTAGCGCCGCAGTATGGACGTGCCAGAGCGCGTAATGGTCCCGCGCGCCCGCACTATGGCGCTGCCGAACGACATTTGCTTGATTCGCTCGCTTCTACGGGATGCGCTCCGAGTTCATAGAACAAGCCTCTCCGACATCAGCGCGGTGGGAAGCCGGTGCAAATCGGCGCACGCGATGCTTATTCGCAAATGCAAATCAGTGTTCTAAAACCACTTAGGAACCTCTCTATCAACGGTTGCGGCATTTGATAACCTGCCAAGGACAAAGGGACGTCAAGCAGACACGGATGTACGGTCCTGGACCACACGGCCATGTTTCGTTTCGGATGTCGGATGCGGTGTGCTGGCCTTGCAGGATCCTTATAACCACGGCGACAGATCTCTTGCAGGGCCGACACGAACACTTCGCGGATGCCCTTTCAGTGCTCTCCTGCCGCTCTCGATCTGCGGATGTACGTCCCGGACTGTTTTCTGCGATCACCGTCTGCCTCTGGTCGCCATCCTTAAGTCCACGCACCTCCGGTGCAACCTGGACCGCTCGTGCATATCGCCGCCTTCGCGTCGACCCGCTCGCTGATCCTTCTCAGCGCCGTCGCACTCGGTGCGACTGCCGGTACGCTCTGCCGGTACGCTTAAGCATGCGTTCCTTCGATGCGCGTCCTTTGCCGATGGGCCGAGCTTCCGAACTCGCTGTGGTTTGACAATGCGCATCAGGGCATCTGTGCAGCGGCTTGGTGGCGGAGACTGGCAACCCCCGCCCTATCAGCACTGTGCTTCACGGCCCTGGTTTCGTGTGCTTGGCGATGCTCCGGCGCGACAGCAGAGCTGTTCGCGTTTGGGCATGCCGGTCGTCGACGAGCCGGCTTCGTTCCCCGGCGTGCGACTTACTCACGCGTAGAAATCGCGTGCTTCAAGCGAGATCCATGTGCCCGCCTGCCGGCTTGCGCGTCCTGACGGCGTAAGATACGCTCGTTTCGCGTGGTTGGTCTTTATAGCTACTTGTTCCGTCCTTATCGAATAATATACGGCATCATGCCTCTTCGACGGCGTGTGCTTGGCGAATTCAGAGGATCTTGCATCTTTAAATCCACGTTTTAGCATGTCACTGCTTGGATTATGTCGTCCTAAACTAACAGACCTGTTGCAAAGGTTTTTGCGTACAAAAATGCAAGCTTTGGTGCTTCAGTCGGCAATATGTCGGCAGCTTTGTGGCGTCCGGTCTCAAACATACCAACTTTCTCTCGCATCCGTGGCGACTAGTCGCTACTTTCGCTTGGTCCCCCGCCTATCATGATTTTTTGGACATGCGAGCCGAGTGCGCGCATCTCAGAAGTAAAATGTACGTTTGAGTCAGCAATTGCAATGTGCTTCGTAGCAGCTGTTCTGACATACTTTCGCGAGAGTTCTCGACGTTGTCGTGGAATTCACCAAAACAAGAGAACAAAGAACACGCCGCAACACGTCGAAAATGGCCCAAGATTGCATGGTTGTAAAACTGTGCAACTACCATCTCCGCCGGCCATATCCATCGGTTAAAACACTGCGAGGCGGGCCTGACTAAGCTCACTGCCCAGTAGCGGTCACTGGGAATGAAGAGAGGCGTGCTGACTAGATGTGCACCATTTCCAAAATAATCGTGTAGAAGTTGGATTTCAGGGTATCCTCGCATGATCCTGCCAGCGACCTTAGATGAGGTCACACCTTAGGGTACGCACTCGGCAGGCATCAAGTGTCACGATAGACTCGAATATTTTTGTGGACGCTCCTTAGTCACAGTGCTCCCAGACCCCAGGAGCCATGACACGCGTAGTACTTCGAAGATTATTATGCTAGTCTGATTGTTTTGAGATACCAGCTTGATCGAGTGGGAAGACCTAAGTCCTGGGCCGGTAAGGAGCCGCAAAGACATTATACGACACTGCCTCTGACATTAACAGGAGCCTACGACGACGGGTGAGGCGAGAAGTGCTCGAGTGCGATTCGTAACTCATGCGGGAAACCAATGCCACGAACTTCCAAAGCGTCGATCATAGAAATGCACTCGCTCGCTATCGCGATGTCCTGCTGAAGGAGATAGAGCTGCGGAGAGACGGCTTCGGCCACTGAGCTCGAGGTTAGTGCAGCGGATAAGTATTGGGCCGGGTTGACTTACATTGGAGAGAGCTCCCGTTCTGCTGTGCGTGTTTGGTCTGCTCTATATTCTTGTTCGCACTATCGCGCGGAAGGCTGTTCCAGCCTTTGTCTTTGTCATACTTGGCGACTAACTTGGCTAGAAGCGTCCAAAGTCTCGTCCACCAGCTGCTGATGTCGGGGTTAGGAGGAACTTCGTGCCCGTTGCTCGTAGAAGCGCGGCTACTGGCCATCGGAGATATAGCGTCTTGGTACGCGCGGAGGCAGAGGCGACAGAGGCGAATGTAGTCCAAGGGGCCAAGGCCAATCAGCTGGTGACCGTACTTCTTCCCATCTAGCAAGGCCTTGAGTCTGCGGCACGACTGCTCCAAGCATTTTGTCACATCTGAAAAAGCGGATCACAGTTAGCCAAAGCCACACGCATGCCGTCACGGCGTACCGTGGGCGTCCGCCTGAGCGAGAACCTCCTTGCACAGCTGCCCAGCTTCGGACTCTTCGTCCAACCGATCCCGGTTATGCAGTCCCGCAAAGAACCAGAAGAGCCCGAAGCTGTCTGGATCCTGCCACATCGACGTGAAAATCTTGATCGTGTCAGACCGTGACGCAAACAACGCTAGCTGGCCTAGCGTCACTATGACTTCGACGGATACATCTGGCCAAGCTCCGGAAGGCAGGTGGATCCTCTTAGCCGTATCCCCAAGTAGGTCCCTGATATCGTCGAAGACGCGCTGCCGCTCCCATTCGCTCAGATGCGTCTCGCAGGTCGTGCTCTTTAGGACATCAACGAGCGACCGATGCGCATGTGTCGGGTTTTCGTTCCTATTATCGGGGCTGTTATTGACCTTGTTGCAAAGGTATGGAGTATACAACGCGAGTGCGTGCTTCAGGACTATGCCGTTCTCGCACACGTGCAGGAGCTTGTGCGCCAGCGGGACGAAGGGTGAGCGGCGAAGACGTATGCCCGTCGCAATGGCCGTCGCGGGCCCGCAGAAGCAGTCGCGGAGGGCGAGAACACCTGGCGGAGGTGGTTTGCTCCCTTCGTCGTGGCCTGCGATCTGAGGCCTGACTTCCTGGATTGAGAGCAGGAAGATGACTGCGTCGATAACCCATGGGGGCGTCTGCGTCACTCTGGAACTATGTCGTTCAGTAAGAGCATCTGCGACCAGCTTGGCCAAGCTCTCTCGAAGATCCTCATCGACAGCTCCAAAGTCGAGGATTTTGTCTAGCACGTCTATGGGGCTTTGCATACCAAGGATATATCTGGTGAGGGTCAGTGCTAGCCACATGAGGTCGGCCGGCTGCTCCTGGAAAGCCCGATAGTTCGTGAGCGCAGCGAGTACCGCCCGTCGAACGTGCGCGTCTGATATGAAGTGCTTGATCAGCTCCTCCGTCGCGGGAGGCGGGCGAGGGCCCAGCCGAGACAACAATAAGCAGACCGCGTCTTGCTGTGTCTTAGTCCAGTTTCTGTTGTCCGACGACCGGGTACGATCGTACGGCGGTAGTATGCTGTATAGCTTGCTGGTGATAGTCATCCATGCAGGCAGTAGTGCAATACGATCCTCTCCGCTCGTAGTACGAATCGCCTTCATGAATCTCGACGCCGCCCATATCGTCTGTGTCCAAGAAATCCGGTCTCGTGCGTCGTGCGGGGTTGCGACAGCAAAACGCTCTCCGGGGTGGTACTGGAGTGCACCGAAAAACGAGTCCAGACAACCATCGCTACGTGCGAAGTCGAGGAGGAGCTGATTGGCGGGCGGTGGAAGGTCGCAGGCCGGTTCATTGGAGAGGAGGAACGTGACCGCATCGAATGCCCACCACGAGCTCTGAGTGATTAGAGTCTCGCCGGCGTCGCTGTCCCTCCAGTCGTCCCATCTCTCTGCTATCCATGTCACAAGACTGCGATACGTTTCAGGGTCAAGTCCGAACTTGCTGGGGGAGGGGATCCACAGCAGGCGTCTCCGTGCACCCATCTGTGGCAAGGAATCAAATCCGACGTGGCTCAGGATCCGGACAGCTGAGACAACTTGGTCACCAAACTCGTGACCGGTCGGGCGCGCGACGGGTCTTTCGAGCAGGAATCTCAAACAGGAGGGGGATCGAAGGGCGTTCGCGATCAACCGCTTCTCTCTATCTGCCAGCAGGTTATCCGAAACCGAGACCATGAGGAAAAGCCCAGCCTTGATCCAGTACGGGACGACCTCTGTATTGGGCTTAATAGATGTGAACTCCTTCTCCATGGTTTCTGAGAGCCGCTCTATCAGGAGACTCTGGACGACCGCGGGAACATTAGTGAGGTCGAGGGAGGATAAAATCTCGTCTGCATCAAGAGACATGTGTGGAAGATAGAGGGAGAGGAGGCTGCGCGCGGCAAGAACAGTCCGTTCTCCCATATGCAGGCTTTTCGGGAGAGAAACTTCGAGGGATGTGAGGACGACGGAGAGGTAAATCGTGGAGATATTCAGCTTCTGTATAAACTCCTTGTCGGCGGGGGATAAGACCCTGGGCGATCCAGAGAGCAGGATTATCATGGCATCGACGACAGGCTCGACATGGTGGTCATCTCCCTGAAAGCCTATAGCCTTGCGACGACTTGATCCACCGGGCGCTCCGGATCCGGACTCGAGCATTCTGCGCAACGCTTGCATGGTGGCACGCAACACCTCAGCGCGGCATTCATGATCCAACGATTCGAGCGGTAAAAGTTTCTTTAACCCCCGCGTCGGCAATTCAACCTCCAAAGCAAGCCCAGTTAACCTCAGAATGAGTCCGATCCTCTCTTTGAGATTGAGGTTATCGGAATCGGATAGTAAGACTAAGACCTTCCTGAAGACGTGATAGTTATCGCGGCTGAGGCAGAGACCTAGCAATTTTTCTGGAGTCTTGAAAAGCTCGTGTCTTGTAGGCGATACCAAGAAGCGGATGGCGGTGCACCAGAGAAGGTGGGTGTCTGTGTCCTCGTCCTCGTCATCCTCCTCCTCCTTAAAGGGGTCGGGTGAAGAGAATCGCTGCCCTTTGCCCTCAGGGGCGTCAGTGGGGAAGGTCCCTATCGCTAAGGCGCGAGCGGTCAGTAAGGTCAAATGCTGCCAATCGGGGAGAGATAGCTGGGCAATGGGAAGTAGGGACGTGGTCGTGATGAGAGCATCGAAGTCGAGTCCGATCCGATGGGAAAGTAACGTGAGCGAAAACTTCAGCATGTTGACGGGCTTATGGGGGCCAATCTGCTCGTAGATGCCAAGTATTGTCTCTACCAGACCCGTCTCAGGTATGATGGAGTCAACGGACAGAATAAGCTTGACATCGTCCGCAAGGCTACGCCATTGTACCACGTCCGCTTCCTCGGCAATGAACGTCTTTTTCGCGTTACGCCAAATCTTACAGATGATTGGCGTATAGAGGCCTCGGCGAATGAGTGATGCGGCTTCATACAGAAAGTTCGTCTTGTATGGGCAATGTGGAAAGAAACACGGGAGTATGAATGAGGCGAATAGGAGGAATCCCCATCCGGCGACAAGCGGCCACGTAGTATGACCGACGCTTGGATTGAAAGCAGCCGTAAATTCGCAGAGTCCGGCGAAGAAGAGAAGAAGGGCGAGCTCCAAGAGCATGGGCAGCGCATCCGCGAAGTGGGTAACCAACCATCTTCTCGTTGCCGGATCGCGAAACTGTCGAGCACGGAGTAGCTGTTGCGGAGATTTGTAGGTTCGTGCAAGAGACTCCGTAAGCCATTGCCTGACTAGGATACCGAGAGATGCTGCAGAAAGGCTGATGACGAGACTCGCGAACCACAAGACGTTAACGCGGACAGCCCAGGCTTCGGGCTTGAAGTTGTCGTCTGAAGTGGTGTCGTCTCGTCGTCCGAGTGTGCTAGTCGAATCAGACGGCTTGTTTACGAGCTGTTGCAGCAGCGCGACTGTCTGTTGGCCAGTGTCTGGTTTGAGGAAGGTAAGGGAAAGCACACTGAAAGCTGCCAAGATGGCTGCGTAAAGACCGGCCTACGGCGTATCGGTCTGAGTGACTGCGATCGTTCTGAAACTGCCGTAGAACTCACGAAGAGAAGAAGGGTGTCAATATTATCGGTGCGCGATTTGATATTGTCTTCATCATAACCACGAACAGTCTTCTCCAAAAGACCCCAACCAGTGCTGCTGGCATCCGCTGCGGCCTGTTGTAGTCGCGTGAGCTCGGATAGCCCGGAAGATACTTGGTCGAGCTTGTCGCTAATCTGAGTTAGCTTAGCGAGTGCTATCCAATACAGACCCTCGTCATCACCATGGCTCGAGGAGTCAGAGTCCACGTCCGACTCTCCGTGATCTGTGCGTCATTAAACATGAGACCAAGACCCGATCGATGGAAAACGTACGCTGCCTCGGAATGGGGGGCTGAGACCGAGACCTAACGCGAGGACGTGACGACATCGAGGAAGAAATCTGCAGAGGAGCAAGTGCGCTGGGGAAAAGAGGAGAAACTCTCAATCATCGTGCTGCATTTCTGTGGGACTGATGGCGCCCGCCACTTACCGAAGATCTTCGGAAGACTGATACGGCGAGTGGACATCTCACGAGAAAGCTAGTCCATGGAGGGGATATCTGTGGCCCCATGCCACATTCAGAGTAGTTCCTGCGAAATCTGACCGACAAGGTCCGTAATCACAGCACTAGCCCTGGCAACAGCAGCATTTGAAGATTTTCGAAGACATATTTTGCCGGAAAAGTACCTGGTGGATAGAGTTCTGTTGTGTTAGCTTGGACATTGACATCGTGTGGAAATTTGGGCAGATACAACAACAGGCATAGGCCGCCCTCCGCGCTTATGTAAGCAGCACTGTCCCAAGCGCTACGACGAACCTGTTTTCATAGGCAAAACATCGTTCAATTCGCCACCTGGAGCTTACGTATTTTAAAACTTATAAGCGTGACATACCCCCCCCTGTTTGCCACGCTAATTCGCGCAATTTGCGTAAGAGCCACTAGCACGCTGATATCTTTCTAAAATATACCAAGTATGCATTTGGAAGACCCCTCCTACGCCTGTAAGCCCCCCCGAGCGATATGCCCCGGGCGCTATCCTCCATCACGGTGATGGCTCCGTTATCTGAGCGTCATCCATCGGCCCCGCCACCAACACCGCCATCCCCTGATGGCACACACGGCGCCATCGCTCCCGCCTGCGTGCTCGCTGTGGGCGACGACGACGACGCTTCCCCCATGTATATACATCATTTTTATACCGTTTTTTCCCTGATTTTAAATGCAGTATATAGTACATGTTACTACTCTTAAAATACAAGCTACTCATTGCTAATAAGCCTAGTAATTGAAGCTCTCGGGCATGTAGGGCGCGCGAGGCTCGGGACTTGGCTCCGGTCTGTTCCCGCCGCGCGCGGTCGGGTGAACGCGGGGCAAGGGTCCAGATGATGACGTGGCCTTGGCGTCCCGCCCATCAGTCCCGC